TATGTATATATAAAATAGCTGTTTCAGTCACCATTTTGTCACAGTGTGCACCATAAAGAGTTCATTTCTTTTTCCACATTTCCTCCTGTGCCGAAAACAAAGAGAGCTGTGTGTTTATGTAACATGTACAGCAATTAGCCATCACTATGTTTCCGGATCTTGAAAACACCTGCACATTTAACAGGTTGATGATACGTCCAAAGTGCGTTTTGTTGGTCTCTGAGCCCTGAGTGCAGCAATTAGATCTAGGCAGGTGGTTAATTGCATTAATGCAGAGTCCCTCAGAAGGCCCATCAATTCTGTTTGCTTTCTCAAAATCCCACTTCTTTTCTTAGTATTTTAATAGCATAGATCACTGCAGTGTTGGGACTTTATGCAAATATATGCACGTTGAAAAATGCTGCAATGCCTTCTACTACCAAGATGCCTTTTGAAACTTAATGTAGGATATCTTTAAAGCCTTAGCTATAATATAATTTGCTAGAGTATTAAGAGCATTCTCTCTAAACAACCAACAGCATGAAACATGCTGGATCTGATTGCATCCTTCTATGAACTGCTACAAATCTATTTCAAGCAATTGTGAGAAAATTATGTGTGTTCGTCTGCAGAGTTCAGCAGATTTAAGGAAACATGGGATGCTTTTGATCCCATACCTAGACGTTAACAGTGTGAACAGTGATATGACAGGTACCTAAGTCTTCGACAGGAAGTCAAGAATGACCTATCACCCGAATGTGCCTGACTTTATTAAATTCTTCCTCTAACAAACTGCAGTTTCTTTGGCAATTTGGAGGATGAATGTTTCTTTGATGAACTCCATTCAAACTTTTTTTCAGCCTTCAAAGGGAGAGTCCATAGACGGAATGAACGACAAGTTGACAGGACCCTGCAAAATCCTGCAGTCTTCAGAGTTGTCAGTTCTTGTCCTTTTAATGAAAGTCTTTTGATATTTGGTATTTTCCTTTAAGCTCTTGGGGGGGGAGGAGAGATAGAGTTTTGAGTTATTTTCAAATCCAGCTTTTGTTTTATTTTGTGATGGTAAGGTTCCCTTTTAGTCATAAAGAAATAAGATATCCTAAAAATATAAATGGCTTTAGGAGAATGAATACTCATCTGAAATTTTTAATGGATAATAGAGGCTCCCAGAATGCTTCATGTTGCTCATGCTAGTTTTCAACCAATCCTTTAAACAAAAAAGACTGTTTGGTTTGTAGCATCATAATCAGAAGCTCTGATCCACGTGTACAGCAGCTCATTTGTTGGATGAGACAGGAGAAAGCCCTGGAACCTGAATTCAGTTTCCTGCCTTCCCTCAAACAGGTGATTTTTATTGACAAAGCTGAGATCCTTCACACATGTCTGGTGAATAAAATGTTGGAAGGCTTTGCTTTTTGTTCTACTGTGTATTCATCGTGTGTACCACTGTTTCTATTTCCTTGCACTTTGCCTTCCACCAAAAACAACATTATTCATCTTGCTGTCCACTATGGTGAAATTATGTACCGTATTTTTCACTCTATAAGATGCACCAGACCACAAGACGCACCTAGTTTTTGGAGGAGGAAAACAAGAAAAAAGATATTCTGAATCTCAGAAGCCAGAACAGCAAGAGGGATCGCTACGCAGTGAAAGCAGCAATCCCTCTTGCTGTTCTGGCTTCTGGGATAGCTGCGCAGCCTACATTCGCTCCATAAGATGAATACCAATCATATTCTCTGGATTGATCTCAATTCCAGACAATTTCCACTTCCATTGCAATTTTTCTCTGATTTCTCTGGCATCACTAATGGTGAAGCTTAGCAAACCAAGGGATGCCTGTGTTAGGTCTCATTTTGCATGCCTAAAGGTTTCTAGCATTGCACATACATTGTGATGATGTCATTTACCCATGCAATGTTCCTGAGGTTTAACCGCATTTGCGGTTTAGGGTGATCTGATTATTCCATTATGTCCTGGTTCCATTGCAGCAGAGAGGGGAAAAATCTGTAACAGTAAATGTTTGTAATTGGAACAAATAGCAGCTTTGAAGGGACATTTTTAGTGGAGAAGACAGTAGGAGAAAAAGAGTTAAGCCAAACCTTCATTCCATAGTCCTCCTGATCCAAATCAGCCCTCACCCCGCCTGAAAAAGCTGACTTTTGGGGGGCGGGGGAATAAAAATAAAAGCGGACAATTTTCAATCACTCCAACATCACATTTAGTTTGACTGCCAGTGTAAGGTAAAGGTAAAGGGACCCCTGACCATTAGGTCCAGTCGTGGCCGACTCTGGGGTTGCAGCGCTCATCTCGCTTTATTGGCTGAGGGAGCCGGCGTACAGCTTCCAGTTCATGTGGCCAGCATGACTAAGCCACTTCTGGCGAACCAGAGCAGTGCACGGAAACGCCGTTTACCTTCCCGCCAGAGCGGTACCTATTTATCTACTTGTACTTCGTGCTTTCGAATTGCTAGATTGGCAGGAGCAGGGACCGAGCAACGGGAGCTCACCCCGTCACGGGGATTCGAACTGCCGACCTTCTGATTGGCAAGTCCTAGGCTCTGTGGTTTAACCCACAGTGCCACCAGCATCCCTGACTGCCAGTGTGGTCGGCCACAATACATTGTCTACATTCTGAAGTGACTTAACACAGTCAAAAGACAAATACAATTCTGCTTCATCAGAGGAGGACTTTATATCTTTACATACAAGTGTGTGCACTTCTTTGGGGAGGCTTGAGTCTAATGTGGGGAAACTGTGACACCAGCAGAGTGGAGCGCAACTTTGGGCCTCCACAGAAGGTTGGGAAGAAGCACCTAAAGGCAGATTAAGGTTGATTGACATCTGTGACCAGGCACTAGGATGCCCAGGTATCAACATCTGAAGAACTATAAATATTTCCAAGAATGCATTTCCTTCTGAAAGCAGTTTATTATAAAATTCGTTTTCAATTACTCTGTGAAGTCTTTTCAAAAAGGTCATTGGACAGCTGCCTGACAGGATATTGTTGAAAAGGAGTTAAGGTGGAAAGTAACTTCTTTTAAAACCCCAGAATCCAAAACCAAGGGAAATATGTGTTACCATATATGTGGATGGTCTAATTCCCCAGCATTATTACCCTTGCAGCTTGAATTAAGCTTGTGGCACAGTGACACATGTTACGCAATGTTGTTGTTGAAGAAGTACGGCGACCCACATTGCCGTTTCAGTTAAATTCTGCATGGCTGTCAACACTTAAAGCAAGTAAGTCAGAAAATATGTTTTCGTTATTGTTGCCTTTAATGGTTTCATTCCAGACAGTGAAATTATTTGGTCAACTGGCAGACTGACAAAGATGCCCACATTGGGTGGGAAAGCTGTAACAAAGAAACAGAACCACTTCTTGAGGGGCTGGAAAACAGTTTAGGTCATTTATGTTCCCAGAAATAGCTTGGTGCTGAGTGGCTTTATGTAACACCAAGCTTGTCCACAACAGAGCAAAATGTGGCTTTGTACCTGCCTTGCCAACAAAGGTCCATATAGTTAAAGCTATGGTTTTCCAAATAGTGATGTATGGAAGTGAGAGTTGGACCATAAAGAAGGCTGATCGCCGAAGAATTGATGCTTTTGAATTATGGTGCTGGATGAGACTCTTGAGAGTCCCATGGACTGCAAAACGATCAAACCTATCTATCCTTAAGGAAATCAGCCCTGAGTGCTCACTGGAAGGACAGATCCTGAAGCTGAGGCTCCAATACTTTGGCCACCGCATGAGAAGAGAAGACTCCCTGGAAAAGACCCTGATGTTGGGAAAGATGGAGGGCACAAGGAGAAGGGGATGGCAGAGGATGAGATGGTTGGACAGTGTTCTAGAAGCTACCAACATGAGTTTGACCAAACTGCGGGAGGCAGTGGAAGACAGGAATGCCTGACGTGCTCTGATCCATGGGGTCATGAAGAGTCGGACACGACTAAATGACTAAACTACAACAAACAACAATCTCCCCATTAATGGTCATCATCCACAAAATGATCTCCCCATCCCAGTGTTGTCCCAGAATTCTCCTCCTGTCTCCCCAGTGCTGATTCAAGACCTATAAAATTAGGGGTGCAGGGGTATGAGTAATGGGCTCTGACAGAGTGTTAGAGTCTTGGCAACTGTTATAAGAAAAACTGCTCCCTTTCCCTTATGGGGTATTCCAGAGCCCGTATAGAGTTCTTAAGTGGGTTCCCTATTAGTAGGCGAAAACAGAGGCCAACCAGAGTATACTGAGAAGCAAAGCAGCTAGTAAGCCTGATCTTTATTAAAGGGACTGTTGCAACACTCACCACACATAGGAGGGAGGAGAACCCCGAACGATGGTGCGCAAGCCCTTATATAGACTTTTGAAATTGCCCACCCTGTAGCCCAAGACCACCCCCCCAAAACATTTTACATACATCACAGGAGGCGGTCTACAGCAGAAATCCTGCCTCCCAGGATACCTGATAATGTTCATCGATTGCATTACCTGGACAGCCTGGCCATTCTTTTGTGCTGGTTAATACTTTCGTTACTGAATCCATGTGACAGGCTCACCCTATTCAGACACAAATATGCCCTTAAGACAGGATTTGCAAGCAAAAAGACAATGGAAAGGCTTTCCCCATTTGCCTCTCTTACTTCAGAGGAATATTTGAGGTCATTGGGAGAGTCAAAACAGCTTCAGGGTTGGTCTCCCATACTATTTCAGACACATGGTTCATATATTTAGATATGTGTGCATTTATGAATACTTATTCTATATTTGAGACCTTAAAATTTTTATAACAGTTGTCTGGCAGTGCTGTGTCATGATCCCAGCCCTCCATAGCATCATCTCATATCTACTATATAGTAACTGTTCATTTCATACAATACCTTTTCATCTCTACAATTAAGGGATAATGCTAGTTTATAAACAGTTCCATTTTTTTCCAGAAGGATGTGTGTAAATTTTCTAATTGTTGGCATAAATGTGCAATACACAAGTTAGTGAATCAGGATAAAATGGGTGATTACATAAAGGTAGCAATTTGGCATAATCAAAGCAGAAGTCGAGGGCAAAGTTTCAGGGATCAACCATGCTTATTTTCATGACATGTTATGAAGCTGTTGGAAACAAATTGTAGTCTGAACTTGGGGTGCTCACCAAGCTGTTTGGGGAAACCCCAAAGCTCAAGAAGGTAAGGGATGGAGAGATGGAAGGAATATTTTGTTTTAACAGAGTTAAACATTTTGGAGCAGTGATTTCACTTCAGCAGTATCCCCTGTTTGGAACGATAGTGTGGTTTCATTTTACAGCACCCCCAGTTTAGGACACGGTTGTCAAGATGTGCATTTCACCTCTGTTGGGTATGTTTACCAAGAAAATCTGCATTAATCGAGAACAAAAGCCAGAGTTTTAAAGATAATCAGATACCTTTGTAGTTCTTCAGATGATAAACATTGCTGACTAGCAATCTGGCAGTGTTATTCCCGTGACCTGCCAAGCAGTTTTGGGGGAGGGGGAGCTACTGCACTGGGACACCATTTACCCTAAAAATAAAAAAGGAAAAAAGGCAGAAGTCCAAATAGGTGTTAGAACTGACTTGAACTGACCAAAATGAGAAAGAAAGAAAGAAAGAAAGAAAGAAAGAGAGAGAGAGAGAGAGAGAGAGAGAGAGAGAGAGAGAGAGAGAATGGACAACTCTGTTATTGTGTGTTGTTAGTTGCTGGGTTTTATCTTTTGTTTCTACTTTGTGTCTCAGTTACCACCATGCATCTTGCTAGACAAACAGAGGAGTTTCTACAGTGACTGCTTGCCCAATCTCGGAATAAAATATTTCAGATCTTGACACTTAAAAGAGCCCTAGCAAATGCCAGTTCTGGATTTGCACCAAAGTATACTTTCTGTGGAGTTCCATGTTAATTTCCCTTTCCCTCTCTTTTTAAAATGAAAAGCAGGAATGGAAGAAGGATGAGGAGGGAAGGGGGGACTTGACACTTCCTTTGCCAGCCATTTTCCCACTCAAAAGTGCTTTCCTGATCTGTATCAAAAGAGAGAGCAGCAGTATTGAAAGGAAAACTGGTTTGGGGGGAAAGGTTAAACACCGTGCAACATCTCTGGTTTTTTGTTTGTTTGATGCCAGGTGGTCACTGGGGGCACGTTCAGGCATGAAATCCCTTTTTGCAGTGTCTGTGTGACTTCACTGGCAAAAAAAGGCCACTCCACAATTCCCTCTTTAATCTGGATTTACCATTTCTAAGAAAAATATGATAAATTGAAGAAAAAAACACACAAAACAAAACTCTTGCTGGTTATTTGATAGCAATATCTGGGCAACCCTTTACAATATTAAGCCTCCATGTGGAAACCCATTTTTATGAGTTTGCCAAAGCCTGATAATCAACCGAGGAGCTCACTATCTCAGCTGCAGCGGTGGTCTCACTTTGCATGGCTGTTGGCATCCATCTCTATCCATCTGTCTCAAGAGACAATGGAGTTCGCCTTTGGGAGTGAAGTCAAACTGCTGTGTTAGCAGCACCAAAGTGACCTCCCTGGGGCACAAGCCTGGGAAGTGTGTATGGAGGTCCTGGGCTGCCCAGACAAGTCCCTCGTCTCCATTCCTCTCAGCCTCACTGATGCGGTCCAAAGGAAAGAAGAGCAATACACTTGGCACCAGCTTGGCTGCAGGAGTTGCCAGAAGGAGACGTACAAGGCGCCATCCAACCACCTTAGGGACTCCATTTTGGATTTGTGTTACATTTACTCCTTAGCCTTTGTGGTGTAGTGGTTAAGAGCGGTAGTCTCGTAATCTGCGGAACCAGGTTCGCGTCTCCGCTCCTCCACATGCAGCTGCTGGGTGACCTTGGGCTAGTCACACTTCTCTGAAGTCTTTCAGCCTCACTCACCTCACAGAGTGTTTGTTGTGGGGGAGGAAGGGAAAGGAGAATGTTAGCAGCTTTGAGACTCCTTAAAGGGAGTGAAAAGGTGGGATATCAAATCCAAACTCTTCTTCTTCTTCTTCTCCTCAGCCCCACTCACCACACAGAGTGTTTGTTGTGGGGGAGGAAGGGAAAGGAGAATGTTAGCCACTTTGAGACTCCTTCGGGTAGTGATAAAGCAGGATATCAAAGCCAAACTCCTCCTCCTCCTCCTCTTCCTCCTCCTCCTCCTCCTCCTCCTCCTTCTCCTGAAGATATCACACAAAGCAGCATAAGTTTAGGATCAGAGTTTTCTTTCTCCTTTAAAAAAAAAAATATTACATTTTCCATTTTAACAATCCAATCAAATCACATTAAGTATTCCAAATTATACAAATACATATCATATAGTCCAAATATTCTGCCAAATTATAAATTTTTGTTGGGGCTTCCCATGCTTCAAGTTCAGCTTCAAGTTCAGTTTTCTTTCTCCTAGATGGGCTACCATCCCAGTTCGATGAGCTCCACATGCCCATAGTAATAAACAGTGCTGGGGTTTTTTTCTAGAAAAAGAGGTCCTGGAACTTACCATGAACACCTCGCTTGTTCTCTTATAACAGCAATGGCACCCACCCGAGAGGTGCCAGAACTCAGTTCTGGCAAGTTCCAGCTCTAAAAAAGCCATGATGATGATGATAATAAATAACTTCTACAACCTAACATGTTACATTACAAACTCTCCATCACATACTACCTCTCAGCTTTATGGTTTTTTTATGACAGACTGAGCAGATGCTTTTAATTTTTTTTAATTAGAGGGAAGTAGCATAGAACACTACAGAACATAAGGTATGGCTCTTTGAAGGCTGCACATTGGAATAAGAAGGATGTTGCAGCCTAGGATTTAGAAGCCCCACAACAGAGTTCCCTGAAGCAGTCTTCCTGGCGCCTTCTTGTATCATGCCTGCCTTTTTGTTTTTTTTATGTAGGCCTATTAATTTCACGACCACTGAGTGCCTGCTTAAAGTATTTACAAAAAATTTATTGGGCATTTCCAAGGTAGACATCTTATATAATTAGACTTAAAGTAAATCTACTAGACTTTGTTTATAACTGTGGACCACAGATTCTCTGGAAGGTTTAGAATTTCCTGTTGAGCTGGGAGAGCTTCTCAGGCAGCAGGGATGCAAAACAAAAGGGAAGCAGCCAGCTTGAAAGAGGTTCTGTTTTTTTGCCCATATTAAGCTAAACAGATGTGGTACAGAGTGGCAGAATTGCTAAAATACTCCCTTTGCTTTGTTTTGGCAACCATTGTATCATCGGTAGAGGCGCATGAAAAATGTAATCTGTTGCTGCATTTGTTGGCGAGGCTCACACCAATGCTATCATTTTCACACCAAGAATCGGAAATGTCTTTCTCTAGCATAAAGGCAACAAATTCAGGTGTTGTTTTTTTTTAATGCAGATACATACATTCCTTGAATAAACACAGATCTTTTTCACCTCATTTTTGGGAGGGTTGAGTTTTAGGATACTTTTGTAGCTGTTGTGAACAGAAGGGTTATTCCTGAGATCTGCAGGTATAGGGCGGTATGCAACTTTAATAAATAAAAATTAAATAAATAAATTCCTGTACCCTCCTGCCTAATTCCCACTGCCCAACATGTACATATACACAAATGAACCACCAAGTCCTCAGCTGGAATTCAGGCCACTGTCAATATCCATTTCATCTTGGAAGTGAACCTTCTTTCTTGGTAACGCTAACCTGCTATGCAATTCCAATGCCCTCATATCCTGTCAGCAGGCTTCCCATAGGCATCTAGCTGGCCATCATGAGAATCAGCCTTTTTCAGTCTGATCCAATAGGGCACTTCTTATCTACTTATGAAAAAGCAGGAAGCCAGCTTATACTGAAAAATATACCTGGGTACTAGAGGGTGTTCTCTTAGACAAAAGAAGGTGGGTTTTGTTTTTTAAATCTTCTATCTTAATGAAATTGTTTTAACTAATGAGCTACAATCTCTGCAAATGAACAGAACCAAGCCACAAGCATAGGTGGCAAGTCTGAAATATCCTTTGATTATTTGCTTTGCATGCTGACCCCCAAGGACCGATAAGCCACAGGGCAGTTGGAACAATTCAACCAAGGCCCGTGCCTGCAAGGGGTTACAGTGTATGAGTTTTCTTTCTTCCTTTTTTAAAAACGTCAGCCTCTAACCTTTCCAAAGAGGAAGTTATCAATCAAAATATCGAACCTGGCCGGAGATAAGATTTTCCTGAAGTGGGTGAAACAGGTTTCATATTGCTCTGGAGCAGAGCCGGCCAACTGATGAGGTGGAGTGAAGTACCTTCCTCAGGTGGTGGAAGTGCAAGAGGCAGCAGCTAGACTGGTGACTGGGAGTGGCCACCAAGACCATATTACACCGGCCCTGAAAGACCTACTGTACATTGGCTCCCAGTTCGTTTCCGAGCACAATTCAAAGTGTTTGTGCTGACCTTTAAAGTCCTAAACAGCCTCAGGCCAGGATACCTGAAGGAGCGTCTCCACCCCCATCATTCAGCCTTGACGCTGAGGTCCAGCTCCGAGGGCCTTCTGGTAGTTCCCTTGCTGTGAGAAGTGAGGTTACAGGGAACCAGGCAGAGGGCCTTCTCAGTAATGGCGTCCACCCTGACCTCCTATCAGATGTCAAGGAAATAAACAACACCTGACTTTTAGAAAACATCTGAAGGCAGCCCTGTTTAGGGAAGCTTTTTTAATGTTTGAAGTTTTATTCTGTTTTTAGTTGGTAGCCACCCAGAGCGGCTGGGGAAACCCAGCCAGATGGGCGGGGTATAAATAATAAAATTATTATTATTATCTGCCTGAGCACTTCCACCACTTGGAATGTCCCTTTCTCACCAGCAAGAGGGAGGCATTCCAGCGTGTGGCATTGCCGTTCATCTTCCCCACCCCTGAGGCAGAGAGTGGCAATGCCTTGTGGAATGCACCATCTCTCACCATATTTGGCGAGGGGGGCATTCCATCAGCAGTGGAAGTGGTGGGTGGGGGAGACACTAGAGGAAGCACAGGGCAGCACATTCCCGTTTCGTCTCATGTGACAAAATGGGACGAGATACCCCTCTTCTGCAGAGCAGTTCTAGAAATCTAAAGGGCTCTTCCCCTTTCACACTCATTGAAATAATTCTCTCCCCCTTTGGAGAGAACTCTTGAGAGTTTGTGTGAGATGTGGTTGTAGCCAAAGGTAGGCCCATCTACCTTTTGTAGGTTTTTTGGAGGGTGTTTGGGGACTAAATACAGCAATGGAGTTGAGGCAGGGGGCAGATTTTGTTGCACCTGGAGAGGAGGCTATTTTCTTCCCTGGTTGTTTTGCTGAGTTAAGCCATGGTATGCACCTGGGCACATGCTTTAATGCTCTCCTAAAAAACTACCAGCCATTACCAAGGTTTGTCCTATAGTTTACAGCTCGTGATGGACTATATGGAACTGGCAGAAATGACTGGTAGAATCCGTGACCAGGGAGAAGAGTTGGTGGAGGAAGATTGGAAGAAATTCAAAGACTATCTTCAGAAACATTGCAAAATTAAAGAATGTTAGAGTGATGTTGGACTGAATA